CTATAGACATCAATAATGTTTTCTTGACATGAACAACATGGATGCAATAAGCCCTAGATTAAAAATTACATCACTGGAAAATGTCAATAGACTAATGGGATGAAAAGTCTTATTGCATTGGGAAGAAAATTGGAGGGAAGAAAGGAGAGGCAATTATTCTTTCATTAAATTTGACAGTCAAAGAGAACAGATAGAGAAGATGATATTGGAAGAACTGTGGAGACAGGGCCATATTAAGTATTTCTCTTTTACCCTGTCCAGCTCAGCTAGAGACAGTACAGGAGTCCTGAGTAGGGGCTATGGCAGATTGAGAAAATGAAAGAGACAGTAGGGAAAACTGGGACCAGGTGTGACAGCTATCCTCTGATGGAAAGACAGTTGACCCAGAGCCAGTGCAGCACATTTATTATATACAGCATGATTCCAGGAAGTTTTACTAAAGTTTAAAACAAAGGGAATTATAAGAAATCATGGCTAAATATCAAGCTAAAGTCATGGTTAAAGATCAAGTTGTAATTTTTCATTCAGATAATTGAGTCTGTTCAGCCTGGCTGAACTTAGCTAATGAAACTCACCCCCCTGGCACCTGAGCTAAGTGTCAGGCTGAAAACGTATCCGCCTCTGGCATGGTACATCTCCAGGACATTGCTCTGCCAAGGCCACTGGATTCAGCTGACAATAATTAAATCAATGCTCAATTTGAATGTGCCTTTCCAGGAGCTCTCTACAGGAACAGGGCAAGAGTTTTTGGTTTGTTTATTTATTTTTAATTAACTTATTAATTAATTAACTTATTAATTAATTATTTTGTTTTTAATAGGGGTAAACCTTAAGCATGTCTGCAACCTATGGTGAAAGAACCAATGCACAAAGAAAGATCTGAGACATAAAACTGAAGAATTAAATTGTTTAGGTAGATCTGCTAGGTAGTAGCTGTAGACAGGTGATTTTTTTTTCCTTAAACAGGTGAATAGGTATACTTCTGAAACTGGGTGAGGAGGGAGAAACTGATGAAGGTTATCTAAGTTGAAACAGGTATGTTTAGAAATGGTAGGAGGGAAGTTGAAAGAATCTACAGCACACATCACTACTTTTTTTTTTTTTTTTTTTTTTTTTTGTAGAGTAGGAAAATAATTGTCTGCTTGAAATGGCTATTTAAGAATGGGGTAAGAAGTTGCAGCAGTCACTAAAGTAAATGAAGCAAAGCTCATGAGTAAGAGATACCTGATAGAAATGTTTTACCACAGATGTTGACCATGAAATGAAAAACTGGAGTTTCAAGCTGAATTGGGTTAGGGTTAAGGTAAAAAAAACGGAGGGGATTTTTTTTGGTATGGCTCATCTTCAACAGATCTCTCCTCAATAAAGATCAAACAGGTCTGGAGTAAAGTGGAATGTCTCCAAAGTGTCTAATTCTGACTCAAATTAAGAGCCTCTAAATTGTAATGTGGCCTTATAAGAAGTGCAGTGGTTGAGCTAGAATTACAGGGGTAGGGGCAGTTTAAATTCAATAACATATAGCATTAAGGCCTCATTAAGCACAAAAATATATTAAATACCAGTGAAGGATAAAAACAATAAAATCCCTGCTATCAAGTCACTGCATTTTATGTAATTAAGAGGCATAGAATCTGAAATTTGTCTCTATGTCCAGAAAGACTTTGTAAAGTGCTTGAAGAATAACAAGGGCTTAAAACAGGTAAAACATTTTGATAGACCTTGCACTTTCCCAATTCACTGCCTTGTCTTTTAACCCATCAGTATGATACATATTGAAATATACATAAATATCCTCAATCCCTGGAATGACCAGATATGGAGTCATACACAACTATTCCATGGGTAGGGAATGAAGTAGAGAAGGGTGTCACCTCTAATTTCGATCTCACCTCCACATAATCATACAGAGGGCAAATCCAGCTTCTACTGTGTTAGCCTAGGTTTATCAGAATCAAATTTCCTGGGTGCTCTGTATTTTTAATTTATACTATTACAACAAGTTCAGCAAAACTGATTCTACACTATTCTTTTTTTATCATAGAAAAGTACCTGTACAAATGAAAGTAGCTTCATGGAAGCCTGAGTGCACTGTATTGGGCACAAGATATAAAAATATAGAATTTTAAAATCTTGTATAAAAGGTTATGACAGCAAAACCTAAATATTGGGTACATGGCTTTATAAAAATTGTGCTACAAAATATTAATGTATTAAAAGCATTATCTATACTAGCCATAGTTGAATCAACATTAAGGAATACACACAGTTTTAATAATATGATAATTTTTGATTAAAAATATTTATCAATTTTTGGAAAAACAAGTATTTTTTGTCTTTAGAACCTAGCCTTTCAAATCTCGATTAACAACTCAGTGGCAAAGATAAAACATCTGCCAAAATACAGATGACGGCATGAGCAAATGTCCTAATAGTAGGCATCTACACTAATAAAAGAATAAGATGCAAATTGACCCACTAGCCAATAAGAAGTGAACATGCAAATTAACCACAAAGGATGATGGGGTAATTTGCATACACAGGTGCTGAGTGGCTGGGGACAGAATGCTTGCATTGTCACCATGGGTTCTGCTATACTGCTCATCTCCTGCCTATGCAAATTAACCCACCATTTTGGTTAATTTACATACTCACTCCTGATTGGCTGGTGGGTGTCGTGAATTTTGATCAATTTGCATCTGTATCTTTTATTAGTGTAGATTTGCATTTTACTTCATACTCTAACCCCTATAGATTTTCAGTATACATTATGGGAAAGAGAAATCCCAGAGGAAAGATAGTTTCAGTCATCCCTGAAAGCAAATAAAAGGCTTTAAACATAAAGTCTCTTTAGAAACCAGGAGTTGTGGGCCATGCTTTCTCTATCATGTACTCTACCTTCAGGGAGCAATCCCATGCCATGCTCTTCCCTAGATTTTCCCCAAAGGCACATATCCTCTAACCCCATGGTTGGCAAACTGCAGCTCTCTAGCCACATCTGGCTCTTTGGCCCCTTGAGTGTGGCTCTTCCACAAAAATACCACGGGCTGGGCAAGTCTATTTTAAAGAAGTGGCATTAAACAAAGTTTAAGTTTAAAAAATGTGGCTCTCAAAAGAAATTTCAATCATTGTACTGTTGATATTTGGCTCTATTAACTAATGAGTTTGCTGATCACTTCCCTAATCACTAAAGGATCCCAGGATACCTGCATTAAGGGGAGAAACAGTAATTACAGCTCATCCTGGGCTCACCTCACAACCTGTCTCCAAGGCCCCTTTTCTCTGACATCCCAGGGAGCTACAGCAGCTCTGCCATTGGCTGCTCTCACCATTTTGTCTCCCACACTCAATGTTGACTGACTGGTGCTTCATTTGTAATGTATTTTCAATAAACCCCATTTTGCTTTACTTTTATTTTTTTATGGACTTTAAATGCTTTTGTGCATCAATGAAAAGAACCAATGTCCCAAGCAGTAGCCCCAACTAGTAACAAAATCAAAATCAAAGTGTGAGTACAAATGAACATAAAAGTCCATGGACTGTCTTCCTCCCTCCATAGTTTAAATTCAGTATCTCAAATATCTTGATTTATAATTTCTTGTGCTGTAAGGCTGTTAGCATCTCTTTACATGTGCCCTTTTATAACTAAAAAATAAACACACAGAAATCCATTGGTTTTTATACAACTAGAGTCCTGGTACACAAATTCAAGGGCCAATGGGATAGGACCTTACTGGGCTCTTAGACATTCCCCAAGGGGTCCTGGATTATAAAGTCACAATGAGGCTAATAATTAGTTTTAATGTAATTAAGTTCAGATTCTGGAATTAAATATGACAATTGCTTGTTACTGTTACTCAAACTCAATTTGAATCTTAGAAAAAAGTTAAGAGGGTCTTTGCATGTGAAATGTGAAAGACATAGCCTATTGAACCACACACACACACACACACACACACACACACACACACACACACATAAATCACATTCTTTCCTCACTTTTTATGAAGCACACGTTTTTAAACATAATAGTTTCTGAAAGCCTGGGGCCTAAATGCCTTTGGCATAGAAAAACACCAAATTCCACTAAGCTGCAAGTTATCTTCATATTTAAAGTGAAACCCAATGCTGATAAACTATTCCTCAAATACAGGGGGGAACTTAAATGTGCTCTTTAGACTCTATTGAAGTGGTTGGTGGGCCAGGAGGTTGAGAGAGTTTCCAGGAAGTCTATTTTTAGGGTTTAATAAATTTTTTTAAAAAGTGGGGAGGGGGGGCGGGAGGCAAAAGATTCTTCTGATTAAATGGTGTGTTGGAAATGAAACTTAATTGTATCAGGTATGTCTCTCTTACCTCCTATATTCATGTGGGAGGGCAAACAGGAAAAACAAATATCTTGCAGACATCACCAAAATGTGCACTTCAATGGGTAGATGACTAAGATCTCCACTCTCCTTCCTTCATCTCCAGTGCATTTAAGGACCTAGGAGGGAAGAGGGGGTGCCACAGGGGGGGTATCCTAACAGCTGCCACCTACTTGCCAAGGAAGGCTCCTTTTCTTTCTAGTTAATTTCCTCAAAAGGTGCAAGATTTGGTGTCTTCATCAGTGTGTACCCCTGAAAGCTGAGAGTAGGGGAAGGAGATGAACCGGGGAAGATGAAGAGGAGGGAAAGGAAGAAGGAAGGGAGAAAGAAAGGAAGGAAGGAAGGAAGGAAGGAAGGAAGGAAGGAAGGAAGGAAGGAAGGAAGGAAGGAAGGAAAAAAGAAAAAGAAGGAGGAAGGAGCTGAGGGAGAGAGGAAGGAGCAGAGGGAGGGAGGGACAGAAGTAGGGACTGAGGGAGGGGTTGAGGGAGAGAGGAAGGAAGTTCCTGACTACCTGAGGGCCCTCCCTCTTTCACTTGGCCCTTGCAGGGAACCTCATGTCCAGGGAGCTGCAGGGCTAGCAGGGCTCCGTGGGGCAGGAGTCAGGATCCCATCCTCAGAGCTAGGATTAGGGCCACTCACCGCAGCTTGCCAAGCCCAGCAGCAGCAGCACCAACAGGGGCCACATCTCGCCAGTTAAGGGGCAGAGGCCACTGCCATCTCAGCCAGGAAAAATCCTGGAGCAACCACTGGCATCACAGTCAGAACCCTGAGTTGCTGCCCATCACAGGCAGGACCCAACGCTTGGCTGCTGGCCGCTCTGGAGTTCTGGCCACCGCGCACCAGCTCCCACCCAGCACAGCCAATGTTACTACTGACTGGATTCCCTCAGATTGCTGGATTCATTCATATTCCCTGAGGCTTCATGGAGACCCGGAGCCCCCTTCAGGGAGGTGGCCAGTGCTGGGCTTCAAGGACAAGGAATTCCTTGCCAACCACCACCCCTGAGCCAAGGTCCTGGTCCCTCTGGCCAAGAAAGGCTTCCAGCATGTGCCCTGGCTCCCTGGGTTGTCAATGACCCTGCCCTTCTCTAAGGTTCCTGTCCTCCTTCTGGGCTCCAGGACCCTCCCTCCACTGTCCTCTTCTATTTGAAAGAAAAATTGCATTTATCAGAGTGACATTGTTTCCCAAAGATATACAGATTTCAAGTGTACAACTCAATGAAATATCACTACACTCTGCATCCTTCTGTCCCCATTCCTTCTTCCCACTGACAACCTCCACCTCCACTCCTACTCCCCTTTTACCTTTGGCTATCGCCACACAGTGATTTGTGTTATGCATATGTGGTTTTTGACAAATCCCTTCACTTTCTTTCAATATCTCACTGAACTACACAGGCACAACATTTAAACTGAAGCAAAAACCTTCTAAAACTGCCAGTAACATTTATCCTAAGTGATTAACTCTCTTGTCACAAAGTCAGTCTCTGGTGGCTGCTCTAAAGGGTGCATAGCCGGTCTGCTCCTTTGGTTGTGTTTCTCTTACCTGCTGGAGAAGAAAGCAATTTCCCACCACAACACCCCACTTCTCCAAATCCTCTACCCATGGCATCTCCTCCATCGCACTCCATCCTCATAGTAATGAAACCCAGGAAATAACAGTTCCACTCTCAGTGCATTCTACACTACCTAAATTTTCAAGGTTTCCTTGTGTAAACCTCTTTCCCTCAACATTATCATTTCTTTAAAATCAGAGAATTTTTTGTTTGTTTGTTTTAATATTCCCTCCTCTGAGAGTTCCCATTCAACCAGGCAAACAGAAAGGGCTTAATAGACACTCTGAGGCTACCAAACTGTTTAATTCTCCTCCAACTGCTGTGTATATGGATATGAGTCACCCACCAGACTTAGAGCATTGGGGACACTGTGTACCACAGGGCAGCTGGTTGGCTAAATAAGGCGGCCAGCTGTCCCTGAGACCAAAGGACCCCCTAACGCTGAGGAATGACCAGGAGGGACTATCCACAGCCTTCACAACTAGAGTTGGAATGATGCTCTGTTTTATGCTGGGATCTGCTGAGGCTAAGTACCTCATGTAGTTTTGTGCAAAAAAATGGAGAAATATTGCCCTGGCAGGTGTCATCAAGTGGTTAGGGCATTAGTTTGAGCAGGGAAGGGTCCTTGGTTTGATTCCCAGACAAAGACATGCACCTGCATTGCAAGTTTGATGTTTGGCCCTTGTCAGAGCATGTGCTGGATGTGTCTTTGTCAGATGGATGATTCTCTCTCTTTTCTTTCTCTTTTTCCCTCTTTCCCTTCCACCTTTTCATCTTCCATTCTCTAAAAAAAAGCAAAAACATAAAACAAAAAAGAAAAGAAAAGATAAGGAAAAAAAAAACAATGAAGAAGTATAATCTGGTGGGATTAACAAAAGAGAGAAAATGGAGTACTCTTAAATCAGGTGAATAAGAGGCCGCCTGGGTAAGCACATCAGCTCTTGGGAATCAGCTGGGATGTGTTTTGATGTTGAAGCAGGACAAGGTCTATTCCAGAAAACAGAATCCAAAGAAAGCTTCTAGGTTTAATTAGCTTCTAACTGAGATAACTTTCTCTAGTATCTTACTATCTTATATTTCTGTTTCCCTTTTAACATTTCTTTCCAAGCATTTTTATTTGGATTTTGAGCTTTTATCTCTACTTAAGGTTTTTTGTTTTGTTTTGTTTTTGTTTTGTTTTGTTTATTTGTTTGTTTTCTTCAGGGTGGAAATTGAGAGAGTAATGTGTAGTAGAATACTTTGAATAGAGGTAATTCACATTCTGTTTATTACCAAAATTAATCTTCACAACAGCCATAGAGTGGATGTTATGATCTCCATTTTAGTGATGAAGAAACAGAGGCAATGGGGAATAATGGGCACTTGGCCCATGATTATATGTGACACTTTTCTCTCTCTGCCTCTCTTGTTTATGTCTACCTTCCTAAGTTTATTTCCCCATTTTTCCTTTTCATCTTAAAACATCTAATTAGCTTTTCCATTGCACTTTGTTTATTCTGCTTAAAAAAATGCATTAATGTATTTTTTTTGTATGTACCTGTCTCCTACCATGTTAGCTAGGAGAAAATGCAATCTTTCCAGGGTATATTTGTATTTCCAGATTCTGTCACAGTGTTTGGTTGAGACATAAAAGTTCTGTGTGTCTTGAATCATCAAGAAAATCCGTGTGATGTGTAGTATTACAGAAACACTTTAGCCCAGGTTTGAGTTTACATCTCTAGCCATGCATTATGGTTAACCTTGGACAAGTTACTTAACACTTCTGAGCTCTCCTCTCCTCGTTTTTGAAGCTGAGTGATAAAAATAATGGAAGTTAAATCTTTACATTTCCTAGATAATTTACTGTTGATACTTTTACAGCTCCATAGAGCAGTGCCTGATGCACATTAAACATACATTCAATACACTGTGGCCAGATCATTATAACCACCCCATCAGTACTTAATTGACAATTCCGAAGATACTGAATAATGAAAATTTCCTAAGCAAATATTCTCAAGGTTTTTTATATTGTTATTATTATTATTTGCATAACAAATTCACTTCCTTTACTGATGGGGTGGTCTTAACAATCTGGCCACACAGTGTAATATTTCCTATTATTAGAGTCTCCTTATAGTGAGGTGAGTCCCTGAGAATGACAGGGAAAATATTATCTAAAGGATCACCAATTGCTAGTCTGAAACCTTGAAGATGCACTGGGATTGGGCCTTTTGTGTACCATTTTGATTCAAGCCAGAGGCACAAGTCTGTGTGCAGTGGATAACCCTTAGTCCACGTGCTTTCATATACACTTTTTTGGTGATTGAACACTGAGGGACCCACATCCTTGATACCTGGCTCAGCACCCAGTGTCCTAGTGTGTTATTTAAACTCAACCCACTCATAAAAGCACAGTTACCTCAGTCATCAAATGAAGCAGTGTGGCAGAGTGTGCTCAATAGGCAAGGACTGGGTTTAGATGGTTAGGCAGCTGGAAGATATTGACATGTGGTTAGAGAGGCAGATTTGGCTGAAGGAAACAGATGGAAGGCTCCAGTAGCAGGAAATGATCTTCCTGGCCTGTGCTTCCATGAGGGAAAAACATTAGAATCAGAAACTGCCTCTGAGTAAGAAAAGGCAGGACTGAGAGCTTGGGTAGGGGATATTTTGCTGGAGGGATGGGATTGCATTTCCCTGGGGAAGACCTTGAGCCCAGGTTTGATTTGCCCAAGTCAGGGACAAGCACAGCTCTTCCTACCCCTCCTGCTGCTGTTGCTGGAGGCTGCTCAGGTAGGGAGCCCACACTCACCACAGCTGGAAAGCACTAGAGCCAGCTTCTAGGTTAGTTGTAAAACCGCAGCTCCTGTATTTCTTGGAGAGCACATAATCTTTGGATTCCTGTACCTTAACTAACCCTTTTGGAGACACATAATATGCATGTAGAGGATGCTTACTATGCACCAGGACCTCATCATACTGTAGTATTTACTGTCTGTTGCTGCCAGAAGGAATTACTAAAAATGTAGAGCCTTAAAATGATACCCATTAATTATGCGACAGTTCTGCAGGTCAGAAGTACAATGGTTTCTCTGCTTCTGGTCTCCCATGGCCAAAATCAATGTGTTTCCTGTGCTGTGTTCCTTCAGAAGGCTCTAGAGAAGAATCCACCTTTGAGTTCATTGAAGAGTTTGTCAGAATTCAGAGTCTGTGGGAGTGAGGTTCCCATTTGCCTTCTGACTGCGATCTGGGAGGGGTCAGCATGGACAGGCTGGCTTGGGTAACTGTGTGTAGCGCCAATGATGCCTGAAAGCCTTCTCCACTGTCCTGCCTCCTCTTCTTCTGCCACATTTCCATGACTGACGCTTCTTCCTCCCCATCTACCTTAAATACTCAAGTGATTAGACTGGGTGCTTCTGGGAATCCACGATAATCTCCCCAAATTTAGGTCTGTAACCTTATTCACATCCACAAGTCTCTTTTGCTATATAAAGTAACACATTGGAGAATCCCCAGGGATTAGAATTTGGAAATTTTGGGAGGCGTTAGTCTGCCTACCCCTCTGAAGTTCTTTTTATATTTGTCTCCCTGGATCCTTGAAGACCCCTAAGGAAAGCGTTGTTATATCCACATCATTGTTATACCCAATGTGCATCTGATGATACTGAGTTCCCAAGAGGTTCATATCTCAGGTAATAAATGGTGGAGCTGAAGTGTGACTTGCTTTTGAGCTCAGGCTCCTTCCTTTGACTGAGTGAAGGAATGGCAGAGACAAAGCATTGTGTGGTGGTCAGACCCTCTCCATGAAGTTCCTTCTGTTGATTCATTAGTGCCATTTCTCAACTCAGTGAGGTGGTCCCCACTGTGGCCACCAAGTTTCCAGCTCTCCTCCTAATAGTATGATACGTGTATCCACTGATTCTCAGCAGAAAACAGATGGCATGCCCAAATGAAGATGCTGAGAGGAGATTAATAAAGGAACTGTTTATGAGGGTGTGGGCAGGGTTAAGGGAAAGTGGCAAGGAAAGGAGAAATGTTGTGAGCTAACAACAGCTGTTGTCCCTTAGTCTAGTTCTGGAGGTGCAAGGAGAGCAGTGATTAGGAGAATCCTGAGAATGGAGGATCTAACGAGGACTGTGTGGCAGGAGCTG